AGCGAGCGCAGGTGGACCGCCTCGCAAGCCGCCAGCGTGCCGGCAGAGATCTCGGCCTCGAATGTCGAGAGGGAGATGTGACCCTGCTTCTTGGAGAAGTACGAGATGATCGCGGTGCCGATCTTGAAGGCGCAGCCGGAGGTGCTCTGGCGGGTGCACCAGTTCGCGTCGGAGCAGCCGAAGAGCTTGGGGTCGGCGACGCGCTCGTAGTGGAGGCCGAGGTCCTGCGTGCCGATGAGGTAGATGAGGCAGCGCTCGGCGGCGGCCTCGATGTTCGCGTCGGGCCAAGCCATGCAGCGCGCCAGCTGCGAGACGGTGTACTGGATGTCGGGGCGCGCGTTGGTGGCGAACATGAGGCTGCCGATGAGGCACTGGCAGCGCTGGAGGAGCTGCGGGTCGGGCGCGGTCTTCTTCTCGGCTGCGCTGATGACGATGGACGGGAGGTCCTTGTCCGCGGGCACCTTGTAGCCCGCGTGCGTGACGCCTGACGGGAAGAAGCGCGCGCGCAGCGTGTCGATGTACTTGCTGGCAGACAGCTTGAAACCGGTCTGCGTCTTGGTGATGTTGAGCCCGAGGAACTCGTGCACCTTTCCCTCGTGGACCTTGAGCGGCTTGCCGACGTGCTTGTTGAAGTGCTCGATGTACTCGTGCGCGAGCGCCCTGCCAGCGGTGGTCCCGGAGTGGAAGATGCCGAAGTCGTCCACGTAGATGACGACGATGAGTTTCGTGCTGTTGCGGGTGAGGACGAAGCAGCTCGGGTCCGCCTCGGACTGAACGAGCCCAGGAAACGCCTTGTTGATGGACTTGACGTGGTTCCACCAAGCGTTACCTGCGGATGGTGCGCCGTAGAGGTTGCCGACCTCGCACACCATGTCCTTCTCCTCGCCGGTGATGGGGTCGATGTAGCAGTACTCGGGCTTGCCCTTGAGCCCCTTCGGCATCTCGCAGTACCAGGTCTCGCCCTCCCCGCGCTCCGCCCAGGTGTACGCCATGGGCTGGTCGCACGTGATGAGTTCCATGTCCTCCTGCGCGGCCACGTTGAGCACGGTGCGGGTCGTGCCGTAGCGGACGACGCTCGCGAAGGTCTTGGTGAAGTCGACGCCGGGCCGCATCAGGTTGCCCATGACACAGCCGCGCCACTTGCACCGGCCGTCGGACTTCCGGGAGGCGATCTCCTTCAGCGGGAGGACGCGCACCTTGGCGGGGCGGCGCATGGGCTTGAGCGTGCCGTTCTGGATGAGGCCGAGGAACTCGGTGTCATACGCCTTGTACCACGCGTCGCGCAGCTTGGGGTCGCGGATGTTGGCGATGTCCTTGTAGTGCTTGGGCACGATGTTGTCCGGCATGGGCATGATCTGGCCGTCCACGCTCGACATGTACGCGACGCACTGGTCCGTGGTGTGCGGA